AAAAGATATATAAAGGGGTGGAATAGAACAAAGGGGCAGAAGCCATCATGAAGAATCCCCTAGCTACCACCTAAGCTGGAACAAGAGCTGTACCAGGGGAAAGAATTGTGCCCAGGCCTGGAAGGTGTCCAGTCTGAAGAAAAAACTTACTGAAGCATTTCTGAGGGTGAGATTATCTGTATTCAGTTTGATTAGACATAGATTTGTGCGTTTTAGTTTATTTTGCTTGGTGACTTACTTTTTTCTGTCTGTTACTACTTGGAACCACTTAAATCCTACTTTCTACTTATTAATTAACTTTTTACTTATTAATTAACTCAGAGTATGTATTAATACCTAAGAGAGCAAACAACTGTGCATATCTCTCTATCACTGGGAGCCGCGATCGACCGAATCTGCAGATGCGGCAGGTAAACAAACCGGCCCGGCCCGCCAGGATGCTTACCCTGGTGGGCTGCGTGCCAAAGGTTGCCAATCCTTGATCTAATACATTGTAGTTTTGTTTACCTAGAGCATCTGCAGGTATGGAGCCCCTCAGCTCCCTGTGGCCGCGGTTCACCATTCCCAGCCAATGGCGCGCCACTTCCCGCAGTTCCCATTAAACAAAGTAAACAAAACATAAACAAAACGTCCTGATCCGCCAGCGGCTCACCCTGACGGGCTGGGAGCCAAAGTTTTCCAACCCCTAAAATATAGGGTCGGCTTATGAAAGGGTCATACAGTTTTTGCTATTTTTACCTATCCATTTTAGGGGATCAGCTTATAAATGAATGGGCTAATGAACGAGTATATACAGTAAATTGCCAAAGCTAAATGCCCATTTTCATTCAAATTTCTTAATCTAACATATCATTCAGTCAAAATATGCCTTCCAGACTTTGTACTGAAATATGAAGTGAGGGAAAAAACTCAGATATTGAGTAGTTTTGCTTTCTCAGAGACTCTTTTGAGACACGGCATACTTTGTGAGAGTATCAGAGGGGTAGCCGTGTTAGTCTGAATCTGTAAAAAGCAACAGAGGGTCCTGTGGCACCTTTAAGACTAACAGAAGTATTGGGAGCATAAGCTTTCGTGGGTAAGAACCTCACTTCTTGATGTCTTGCATCTGAAGAAGTGAGGTTCTTACCCACGAAAGCTTATGCTTCCAATATTTCTTTTGTGAGAGTAAATATTCATTGGAAAAATTTACCAAGGGCCGCGGAGAATTCTCCATCACTGACAATTTTTAAATCGAGATTAATTTTTTTCTAAAAGATATATCCTAGGAATTATCTTGGGAAAGTTCTATGGTCTCTGTTATACAGAAGGACAGACTATATGATCACAATTTTGAGTCATTACTAGTCCCCAGAATGCCAAAGCACATGACAAAACAGAAGGAGGGTACAAATTTTAAAGAGATGGCTGGAAAAGGCATCAAATGTTTACTCATTCCTTAAACAGCTATATTAGTCTAGCATCCCAGGCTTCTGGAATACAGATTATTGCCAGCAAAACTATTAATAGGATGCAAATTGCACAGGAGTTTTGCATTCATGCACAGAATAACAATTAATTTGCGCATAAAGATATAGTTTAAAATATAACAAAGGAAATGCTTTGACAAATTAACAGAACATCTTGTGCCACTGAAGGAGAAATGTATTATGCATAAAGGCCTTTCAATCTTGGAACAAGAGAGCTGCATTCTGAAGCAAGTGGCATGTAGGACGTATGATGTAATGACTAAAAATGGGAAAATGCACAGAAGAGACAAAAATCATCTTCTGGAAATTAATGAGACATTAAAGTTTCAGCCAGAACTGGATACAAATATTCATTCAGCACTCACTTGTACAAGACCTTATAGAGATGGGCCAGGAGCCCGGGTACAAAGAGTCCACTTGCAGAATACTTGCAAGGGATAAAAATAATACAAAGCTGGCAACTGGTCTTCTTGTTGGCAGTATCAGCAGTGACACCAAGGGCATGGATAGTGAACTCCCTTTATCCTTCAGGCTCTCTCAAATTAGAGGAACAGGTCCCACACGTGGGGTTAGATAATGTCTAGATGGAGCCTGAAACTCCTCTCCCACTTTTTTTATTTATAACCTTGAAAACAGAAAATGCAAGATTTCTGTAAAAGATTTCTTGCATGCCTGAATCAGTTCCAACTTAATAAGGTAACTAACAAAAAGCAGCAGGGACTCCACCCACCTACTGGGGCTGCTGTGTGCTGTCACCAAATGCAAAGATATTGTCTCTCTTCCTCCACGCTCAGTTCTCCCATTCCCTTTGCTGGAGCCCAGTAAGCCTGGAGAAAGCAGCCAGAAGGCTCGGGGATAGAGTGAGAGGACAGAGGCTCAGGAAGGAACAGTTAGGTAAAACAGTAGGCAGAGTCTGCGGAAGTGATTCCTCCCCCTCTCCCAAATAATTCTCTAGGCTCCAACCTCAAGTTTGCACTACCTCTTCTGTTATTAGAGACCTTCATTTTTCTGGTCTGTCCAAGTTGTACCTTTCACTACTATTCAACCCACTTAAAAGGGGGGGTTATAATGTTACAAAGCTGTTGTGGTGAAGAGATGCTATAAATTGCTTTGTTTTCTCTTGTGAGTAAAGCTCAATCTCAGATTTTTCCTGAAAAGGCTCTTCTAAGTAAATCTAAGGCTCATCTTTTACTGGTATTGATATGGCGTAAGTTACATGCTCTGCACAATATAGTCTTATCTGCAGTAGGAAAAGTATCCCTTGCTCACAGTGGGCATCAGCAATGAGGGCAGTTGAACTGGTTCTCAAAACAGTTTGTTTGCACATGTAGACAAGGGCAACCTGGGTTCAGCAGTGTTTCAGAAAAGAAACAATGTTTAAACTGCTTTGGAGCTAGCAGTGGTTAACTCCAAACTACTCCACTGCTTGGAGAAAATGGGTGACTAGGTGGCCGAGTAGTTAAGGCAATGAACTGCTAAAACATTTGTTCTCTACAGGTGCGGTTTTAAAAACCAGGGATATAAATTGGCAGCTCCCTCATTGAGCCATAACCACAGGTGTGTATCTGGCATTCACAAACTCCCCTAACACCTGTCCCTTTTGCAGTGAGAGGGAGACCCTGTCACACATCTACGTAGAGTGTATCAGGTTACAGACCCTCTTCTGGTTCCTCCGCAATCTCTTACTGAGTTTCTGGCTGCACTTCTCCCCACACCGCTTGATCCTGGCACACCCCATCCAGGGTCCCACAAAGTTGCAGGATCTTCTGATCAGTCTCCTAGTGCTATCCAAGACGGCCATCCACCATCCCAGGAGGAGGAATTTGGATTAGGGGAGGGAGATGTGCTCTGCAACTCTGGGGCCTATTTCTAATCCCTTGTGAAGTCACATCTCCTCCGAACATCATTTCTCTAGGTGGTGTCCACTGACGCCACAGATGCCTTTGAGGAAAAGTGGGCACTGTCATAGAATCATAGAATATCAGGGTTGGAAGGGACCTCAGGAGATCATCTAGTCCAACCCCCTGCTCAAAGCAAAACCAATCCCCAATTAAATCATCCAACAGATTTTTGCTCCATAGCCCTAAATGGCCCCCTCAAGGATTGAACTCACAACCCTGGGTTTAGCAGGCCAATGCTCAAACCACTGAGTGTCTCCTTCTAGGCCCCTGCTTTTCACCCTATACCTCCACTCCCATCCCTTGTTTTTTTCCATTTGTTGCCCCCCCTATTCAGTTGTGACCTAGGTTCATTGGTCCTTCCTGCCCAGTTGAGGGAGGGCCTTTAGCTAAGGGCAGGCCAGGCCAGGCCTAGACCCCCGTCTCCCTCCCGGTACCCACAACAGGTACTTGGAGAAAGGAAGTCCCAGACTCCCGGTGCCATAGGGAGATGCTGCGCTGGAGGCAGGACCCAAGGGGCAGGTCAGTGGAAGATACAGGGCCGGTGTGGAGCGCGGCTGAAGAGATGGGGGGCGCGGCGGGATTCACGTGGGCTGCTACAGGCGGCCTGGATCCCTAGTACCAGGACAGAGGCCTCGGGCATTCACATTCTTCAGCCCTGGGTGTGAACTGGGAAGCGCTGCTGGAGCAGGGAGCTCCCACGGCCGGGATGTGGCAGCCCTCGGCCTAGAGACTGTCCCGGGCAGCAGCGCGTGGCGGCCTGGAGAGCGATGCGGGGCAGGGACACGGGGGGCACCAGGCCTCCTCCGCTAGATGCTCGCTGCGCGGCCTGCCGCCGCCGCCGCGCTAAGGGCTCCGAGCCCCGCGCTCCAGTCCCGCCCCGCTGCCCCCCCGGGCCGCCCCAGCAGGTGGCGCTGCTGCCCCAGGCCGCGGCCCAACGGGCCGGAAGGGGCTGGCGGCTGCCTCGGCGAGATGGCGGCGCCCAGGCGGTGCGGAGCGTGACTGTGGGCCCGGCCGCGGGGAGCATGACGCGGGCGGCAGGGGCCCGGGGTGGCCGCGGCGGGAGCCGGCAGCCGGGCAGGCTGCAGAAGCTGCGGCTGGCGGTGCAGGAGTTCGTGCAGGCGGCCGGGGACCTCGCCCCTCCGCAGCCCGGGCTGCAGCCCGCGGGGGGCCGGGGCAGGAGGAACCGCCGCGAGCTGAGGAAGGAGAAGCGCAGGCTCAAGCGGAGCCGCCGCCGCCGCCGCCTGCACCACCAGGAGCCGGACGCCGGCGAGGAGCCGGGCGCGCCAGGGGCTGGCCGGGGCGAGCAGACGCAGGGCGTGGGCCGATGCCCCCTCCCCGCCGCGGTCCCGGCCTCGCCGCCCCCGGGACACCAGCGCCCCCGCGAGGAAGCGAAGCGGCTCCCAGAGAAGGGCCCCAGCGCCGCTGCTGCGGCCTCTGCGCGGAAACGGGCCTTGCTGGCGGCCAACGAGGAGGAGGAGAAGGAGATCCGGCGGCTGGAGCGGCGCCTGGGGCTCAGCAAGCGCAGGAAGCGGGGAGCCTCCTCCGTGCCGCAGAGCTTCGCCCGGGATGGGCTGGGCTACGTGCTGGGGGCCCTGGAGCCCGAGGCCACCCTCTCCGGCCTGTATGAGGAGAGCAGCGAGGAGGAGGCGGCTGATGAGGGGCGCCTAGATCAGGATGAGGGGAAGGATGAAGTTGATAGGGAGGATCTAGATCTGGAGTCCCTAGATGATGATCAGGAGGGGGAGCTAGATGGGCAGGAGGAAGAACAGGAGGAAGAAGAGGAGGGGAGGAGGAGGAAGAAGAGGAGGGGAGGATGGAGGACACTTTAGAAACTTCAGAGGAGGCAGATATGGAAGGAAACTGGGAGAATGAGCGGAAAGTAAGCGGAAAGTTGCCCATGTCCCCAGAGGATGGTGGCGACTATAAACCCTGTAAAGCCAAGACCTCCAGAGAAGCGAAGGTATGTTGGGGGCAGGTTTTGCATCAAATAGCTTCATGCTTTTCAAATACAATTTTGCACCCTTCACATGAAGTTTCACTTCAGATCTGAGTTTTGTAAGGGATTGGAAATTGCCCTAGCCAAGTCATGTTATCTTCAGTCTTGTCACAGAGCCAAAAAGCCAAGTTAGACTGGCGAATTGGGGACAATTTTATGCAATGTATTACAGGGTGAAATTTCTTGACCCTATGGGGATAGGGCAATGCCCTGAAGCATGAGCATTGGTAAATCTTGAAATGTACATGGAGGTTCTTGTTCTGATTTTGCTGTCATTGTTTCACCATGCCAGTAAGACTACAGTAGGTAGTGATGGAAAAGACCTATCAGACCATTTATCCTATCCCTAATAGAGGATGTATCAGATACAGATGCACAATTGAATACTGTGAACACAGATGGTATATTTGGGGCCCAAGCACACTTTTTGGAAGGCTTGCATAATTCCTGTTGAGTTCTATGGGAGTTGTGCACTTGAATAACATGGAGAATTGGGACCTTGATTTTGAGTTGATCCTAAGTGATAGGCTGTTGCATGTTTCTTTTTTGGATGCTGTTCAAGTTAGCTCCTTTAGCATAATTTTGTACTATTGGTGTTGCATTACAATAAAAAAAGCTTCATAGTGATTAGAAATAAAGTTATGGTATACTTAATAAGCCCATTTCTTATACTTAATAAATAGATACTTTCAAATGAATATGAATTTATTTTTAAATAAGATTTTTTTTTATAACGTACTGCCCTATTTTCTTGTTTTTCTCTTTTGATAAGAGTCTTTGCAATAGAGCTACGAAGTATGTTCCCCCTCCAGTGAGAAGAGTTGACAATACAATGGATGACAAAAAGAGGGAAGAACTTGGAAGACTGAAGAAAACAGTGAAAGGACTAATTAACAGGTAATATAACATGTTTGATGTTGTTTATTAGGCTGTGTTTACAGCAGCCACCGTTCAAGCCAGAGAGGGGAGTGAGTATGACTTCTTTCTTGCAAACCGATTTTTTTAAATAAAAGTCAAATTTTGTGCATGCCATCTTTGACAGTATCTTTTTTATTCTCAATTATTTTGGAGAAAGTACAGGAGTACTTGTGGCACCTTAGAGACTAAATTTACTAATAAATTTGTTAGTCTCTAAGGTGCCACAAGTACTCCTGTTCTTTTTTGGATACAGACTAACATGGCTGCTACTCTGAAACCTGTCATTTGGAGAAAGTACATTTATAGAAGTTGAAAAATCTATTAAAGAAGATAAGTTTTAATTGATAAGTAAATTTAAAACTTTGAGTTGAATTCCACAAACACTATTAGGTGTTGTCGGCCAAACATAATTCCATGGGCATCAGTGGGACTATGCGTGGTTTAAAAAAAAAAATTGTAGAATCAGGCCCTTAATTTGTGCAATCTGCACATGAAAGAAGAGCATTTTAAAAAAAAAACTATTAAAATTGCTGAGCCCTGAATCTCAGGAGAAATGTGTATCTTATACTACTTCAGAATAGGTTTACAGTAATAATTGCTCATTACAATATGTTTATTTGTGGCTTTTATGTAAAAACATTCAGTTGACATTAATTTTAGTCTGTGCCAGTGGGTCTGCATACCAGTGGACCATAGTCTGCGTAATAAAGATTCATTATAACTACACTGAATAAATTACAAACATGAGGCTGAGTGCTCTTGGATTTTAGATACGGTATGTTACAGTCTGTTGCTCAGCAGGCACTGAGTACATCATCAACTCTTTGCGAATACTACTACTTCATTAATATTGACAATATCTCCTAAGATGTGAACTAAATATTTGTGTATCTGAATTATTTTGATGAACAGGAAAGATCCAAAATCTGTTTCAAATATTTGTCCCTTTTTCTTTTTGAGCTACTGGTTGAATAAAACATTAAAAATAGAACTTTTGTTGTTTTGGATTAAAAGCAATATTACACTGAAAAAAAAATGAGGATATGTACTGAGTAAGAAGTAATAGAAAGCTAAAGCAAACACTGAATTTTATCTCCTGATAGGTTGAGTGAACCAAATTTGGCCTCCATAAGTGGACAGTTGGAAGAGCTATACATGACTAACAGTAGAAAGGACATGAATGAAACTCTAACAGATGTTCTTATGAATGCTTGTGTTACTGCAGCCGTGATGCCAGTTAGATTGATGATGGAGCATGTCCTTTTGGTCAGCATTCTTCATCATACAGTGGGAATTGAGGTAACTTTTTGCCTGGGCTTGTTTTATTTTCTAATCATGTTGCACAACACTTTCTGTGGTGCTTTATTCAGGTTCTTTTTTGAATGTGTGGTTTCTGAAATTGTTAGAAAGTAAGTATATGGTATCCCTGAAATTACACCTCACTATATGGCAATCTGGGCTGACTTGTGGTCGCAGTTATGGTTTAGTAGGCAGGCTCTCACAAGTGACCAGCACTTACACTTGTTACTGCATCTGAATGAGTATTTTCTTCTATAAATTGTTGGTCACCTTTATAAAGTGTAACTTATCTCATTGAGACCATTAGTGTCTTATATTCCTTCCTACATCTATCTGTGGTGTTGAAAAATTTCTTAAAGCTACTATTTTTTCCATCTTTAATTACAATTATCCAGTCCTGTTCTATGACTACTTTAGAACATCATTCTTGAGTCCTGTATATCCAACTACAGAATTCATTAAAACCATTATAGAGTAAAAAATCCACCTGCATCTGAGGAGCCCCACTAAAGCCTGATCCTACATACACTCACACATGCATGTGAGTAGTCCCATTGAAGTCAGTGGGTTGGCTTGCAGCTATAAGTGTTTGCAGGATCAGGGCATTTGACACACATCAAGCAACTTTTTGAGGGTTGGTTGTATTTTCAGGCTTGACCATATCAGTCAAAATAAACGTAAGCTTTGTCTACTAATATGACGGACATGTTGGAACAGGTAATGTCAAAGGGAAGTTATTACAGGAGTTTAGATAATTTCACTGAAACTTCTGCCAAGAGACAATGAGCTGTTTCAGGATGCTGTTCCCATAAAGCTTTATTCTGATTCTGTAATGCAGAAATATAATTGAAAGAACCCATATCAAAGATATATTCAAGTAGTTCTTGCATCTGTAATGTGTTGACCTCGATGAGGTGGAAATATTTCTGCATTAGCTGTTTTTAAACCAAACTAAATATCAGAGGGGCACAATCATGTTAACTTTTCTATGTGCAACCTTTGCATTATAGAAAATTTATTTTTACTCCTTTTGTTGCTTTAAAGGGTGGTTCTTACCCCACATTTGACTTGAAAATTTTGGCGCTGTTTTAATAGTAACCCTCATCTTTTTATAAGTTTAAAACTATTAAATGTAGTCAACCAGTTTCTAGACTCTCGCATATACCATTGATTTAGTTGTGATGTAGACTTCAGAATCTAATTGGGACTACTTAAATGCATTATTAAGCACTTAAGTTTGTTCTTTGAAAAAGATACAGGATATTAAATGCAAAAAACTGAAAAGGTAACATTAAGGTTGCAGTTAAAATTGATTCAGAAAATGCAAAAGTTAAGATCCTGTAGCAATGTTATATGGCTATGTAGCAAATACATAATACTCCTGTTCATTCTTGTTGAACATGCAGCTTGACATATTAGTGTGCCATAAAATGTACGCCTTAAACCATTCTGCAAGTGTAATGCAACCAAGTCAGCATTGCTGTTGGAACCTTAACTTATACACATTTCCTGACTGATTTTAACTGCAACATTAACATTATAATAACACAGTTTTTTAAATTGCGTAACTCATTTTTAAAAAAAATTAATATTTGACAGGTGATCAGTCCACAATTTAAACGTATATATTTTGGCACACCTTTTTGTAGGCTCAGTTTTCTGTAAATAAATATAAAGAAGTCTGTCATTTTCTGGGTAGTTTTTCCCATATTGTATCTATTTAGCAAGTCGGAGTCTCATCTCCAGTAGGAAGTCGACAAGCAATAGTGCTAAGTGCACAACCAGGAGCCAGAAAAAAGTGCTTTTCTTTTTATCAGGCTTTTCCTGACCAATAATGTTTTTAATCTAAAATGTCAAGTTTTACCCATATATGATTTATTTTTGTATGGCACATAAGTTGTTTCCTAGTATGAAAATGACTGAGTAAGGCTGCGAGTTTGTCATGGACGTCACGGATTCCATGACGTCCGTGACTTCTGCAGCAGCCCGTGCGCCTGGCTCAGGAGCAGCTCAGGCAGCCCCTACGCCAGTCGCACGGGCCAGTTTTAGTCAGGGATATATAGTAAA